ACTCTTCTGGGTTTGGAGCAGTGCTGAGTTCAGGCCAGGGCCATATAATTGGGGAAAATGTGGTAAACTCACCACTGATTTTGTGGTTCTTCAATTCTAATCTTCCTTTCCCAATCTACCTGCTACTACAGTGAAACTTCTGAGAGCCAGGACTCAATGGGACTCCCTTGTTTTTCCGGGTCTCAAAAGTTTTCTGCCTTTGACAGGGTGCAGTCTTAAACCACATTTCTGTCTCTCATTTTAGTGGAAAATATTTGCGTTTTCCTCCTCTGACAGGTTTCTGCCTTACGCAGTTTACAACTTTCGTAGGTTTTACTTTTTCAGAGTCCTCAAATAGCTGCCCCATGCATTCTGTCTGTTTCACAGCTGCATTTAGTGAGAGAGTTGGGGTGGAATGTGCTTACTCCATCTTACCTGGAACCAGAATCAAAAATTAACTTTTTTTGAGAAGCTGGACTGAATCCATCAATAGGAAACTAATAAATTATAGTACATCCTATCAACGGAATACTGTCTAACCATTATAAAGAATGAGACTATTCTGTGTGTACTGAAATAGAGTGATTGTCAAGATATATTGTTAAATAGCAAGGTGCAGAACATTTGGGGGAATTATTTATATTTATAAATGTGTATATTTATGCTTAGGAGTCCCAGGGTGGTACAAACAGTTAATGTGCTTGGCTGCTAACCAAAAGGTTGAAGGTCCCAGTCCATCCAGAGGCACTTTGGAAGAAAGACCTATTGGTCTACTTCCAAAAATTCAGCCATTGAAAGCCCTATGGAGCACAGTTCTACTCTGACACACATGGGACCACCGTGAGTCAAAATTGACTCGACGACAACTGTGTTTTTTATATATGTGTGTGTACGTTTATGCTGGTAAGTACATAAAGTAATTCTAGGAATGTACAAGAAATTAGTAACCGTGGTTGTTTCTGAAGAGAAGAACTGGAAGGCTGGGAGACTAGGGAGGCAGAGAGACTAACTAAAACATTTGGTACCATTTGTATGTATTATCAATTATGGTAGACCAGGCTGCTGTACAGACGCTTCAAATAAGCCTGATAACACATAAGAAGCCAAGGAATGTGACAGTGGGTGAAGCAAGCGTTTCATTTTATGGAAATTGATGGCCCTTTGAGTGTCGACTTAGTCCTTTCTCCAGACTAAATGCTGTTATAGCCAGTAATTCTTGGCTTCTCTGGCCTGGATTGCTAACGTACTATGGGGCATGCCTCCGTGAGGAACTAGGGAGGCATCAGATAACCTCAGCCATTCACTTGTATTCTTTCATTCTTTGAATTTCTTGTTTGTCAGTTCCATTGTGAACTTAAGAAATTTAGTTGGAAAAAAAAAGAAGGACATTTAGTTGAGAGCTGATCTTTGAAGCCTAACTACCCTTTTATTCTGGACCAGCCCACTTAATAAAAAGAAAAATCATATGTATATGTATATGTGTGTGTGCGTATTTTAAAGTTGTATACCACCCCAGATCCCTTTGAAATTATCTTAGGCATGTATTTTTTATTCCAGGCTGATTCACCTAAATAAGATTGATCCCCATGCTCCAAATGAAATGCTGTACGGACGAATGGGCTACATCTATGCACTTCTTTTTGTGAATAAGCACTTTGGAGAGGAAAAGATTCCTCTAAGCCATATTCAGCAGGTACCAAGTTTTTGTGATTTTTTAGGAGCCTTTTTAGGATCCCACTTACTTACTTCTGCTTACTCTATTGTTTCTGTTCCCTAGTTGGCACATCCCAGGTAGCAGGAAAGTGTATCTTGACCTCAAAAAGTCAGCCATGGTCAAAGAGCCAACAGCTTCACCCTGAGTGCTGTTGGAAGCACTGTAGAGAGTGAGTCTGAGTAAGAAGTTCAGCCTGCTCGGCTTGAGAGTTTACAGACCCTTTCAGAAGAAAATGAGGGCCAGGTTTCTCCTCCTAGATGCAGGACCTCCTTTTGAGCCTGAAGGAATGATCCTTTCCTTTGACAGGTGAAGAGTTCGGGATGGTCCATACCCTCTCTCTTTTAGGCAGAATACAGTTGCACCCACTTTTCTGAGTACAGAGTTAAACTGTGCTATTCCATGGCTGTAAGCTGGTGTCTGATTCACCATGTTCCCCACAGCGACAAATTCTCTGCCTCCACCAGGAAGATTTTTATTCTGGTTCTCTCGTCATTTGTGTTGGTTTCCTCCCTGTAGATTTGTGAAACAGTTCTAACCTCTGGAGAAAGCCTGGCTAGAAAGAGAAACTTCACGGCAAAGACTCCACTGATGTATGAATGGTACCAGGAATATTATGTGGGGGCTGCTCATGGCCTGGCAGGAATTTATTACTTCCTGATGCAGGTAGGAGGTGATTATGGTGAGACTTTAAAGTGTGCTTTCTGAGTATACCATCTTGGGTTAGAAGATAAGTGCTCCAACCCTGTTTTGTTATTCTGTCGATCACTCTCCTTGTAGTAACCATCCTAGATAAACAAAGGTAATACTTTCCAGTGTGTATTTTAAAGTTTATAAACATAAAAAGCACTGTGCTTTGAGATGGCGTTTGAATTGTAGCTGACCATACTTACCTACCTAGTGGTGTCTGCAGACTAAAAGTATTTTAACCTAGAATTCTATAGGAAGTGCCTCCTGCTCTTCTTTTCTTCTCTCTCAGCAAATGCCTCAAATTAAGAATATTATTCCTCATTGTAAGGTACAGGCCATTGAAACATTCCAGCAGTAAAAACAAAATCAATAGAAAACAAATGAACGCGTGTTGCCTCAGGCCAGCTTAGAGAATAAAGCTAAGGGGCCTTCGATGGATTTTGTGTAACTTGCCTGAAAAATAGCTGTATCTGCTGTACCCAACAGTTCTTAGGCTCTAATACTACTGGGAGACATCAGCCAAAGTCTGGTAGACTAAGGACAAATAGAATTTACTGCAACAAGCATAACTTGGTAGGGGATGGGTCAGAAGAGAACTTCTCATGAGAGCATCATTTTAAGGAGCTTATAATCTCTCTTTAAGGATTCATGGCAAGAAAAAAAATTTAGTGGCAGCCTCCCAAAGCACAATGTGGCATAAAGAAAAGCCTTAAATTAATATGTTCAGCATGGGTGCTTGTGTATACACTGTTATCAGCTGGTTCAGTAACTGGCTATGAAAATACAGAATCAATGTCAGACCTGCCCGCTATCATAAACAGTGACAGTGAAGCTAAAAAACTCAAGGTTATTACTGCTTTGGAAAGCAAAGTCACACTTTGAGTGTTAGTGTCAGTAAGAGACCAACTGTTATATTCATTCTGTG